ACCCATGCCAAGACTACTCCCGTGCAAGCACGCTTAACTTTGGGGTTCTTGGATGATGAGCTCCCTTAAAAGGAGATGCACCTCTGTTGGTATGAGTAGTACTATTAATCCTCTTAAATTAATCTTGTGTATTACAGGGCCGAGCTAGACGGGCATCCGAGCGAGTGGGAGCAGTGGGAGGGGGATGCCAGGGGTTGTGGGATGGACACCAGGGGCAGTGGGGGTGGTCTGTGATGGAGCAGGGCAGAGGGGGAACTGTCGACTTGGTGTTGTTTTCAGGTTTCTTTGAGGGACACCATCGATCTAGCCTTGGAGAATAAGGGTAGGGGATCAGACTGCTGGATAAGGGACGCCACAATGTCGTAGTGCTCCGGCAGACCATTCACAAGGCGAAGGACAAGACAGTGGTTGCTAATTGGGGAGCCGACGTTACCAAGTTGATCGGCTAAGAGCTTTAGGGCCTTGCAGAAGGAGGCGGCGTTGGGAAACTGATCAAGACGTGTATTGGAAAACTCATTTTCCAAATACACCGCCCGGGAGTGCTTGTTATCTCGAAAAATGTCTTCAAGGCGTTCCCAAGCCGATTATGCCGTAGAATTGGGTGAGATAATGGTATGGAGTAGATCATGAGATATCGTACCATAGATCCATTGAAGGACCACATCATCAAGTGGATCCCAAAGAAGTCGAAGTTCCGCCGCGGCATCCTCTTGTTCGAGGCGCTGTTCAAGAGTAGTGGTAGGAGGGGGAGTCGCGGCAATGGCTGGGATTGGGAGGATGTGATCGAGCACTTGATAAGTGCGGGCAGTAATCTTAAAGAGTTCTGCCCAAGATGAATATTCGACGGTGTCAACATCGAGGGTGATAGGAATGAATTTTTTTATGTTGGAGATGACTAGAGCTGGGTGATATTTTGGTTGGGAAGCCATGGCCGAACGGTAGAGGAGAAAAAGAACCAGGCCTCATACCAAGATAGAATGTCAATGCTTGTCTTCCATTCAAATTCAAAGTGTTATTTAAAGTAAAGAATTTGCCCTAAATAGGACTAAAATAATAGGAAAGTTCCTAAATAGGACTAACCCCTAATTTATTCCCTAAATAGGACTGTTTTAATGAGTCATCATTGCCTATTCCTAAAATACCCCTGCGTGCAATTAAACCTTTCCCGCAGCTGCTCTGTCTTCTACTTGTGATAAGTCCATTTTTGTACTTATTTTTCTTATCAAATTTAAGCGATTTTTGAACGAAAACAGAAAGAAAAGGCATGTTTTATATATTTTGGTTCAAGTTTCGTGAAACCAGGTAAAAATCACGCCCATGATATGTTTGACGAAATTTCGAGTCAATTAAGCACACAATGAGTCAATTTGAGTGACAAATGATATCATACCGGAAGAAGCAAGCATTATATCAAAGTGGTCCAGAAGACAAAATGGAAGAGCACAAAATAAGGAAGAATTCAGACAAATAACCTCACAGGCGGCCAGATAGGCGGCCACAATGAAGGCCTTCGCGGCCGCCTACGGTATTTTTGGAAAGTCAAACTCTGACTTGGATCGAATTCGGAAAACATCGAAGGCTGCTGACACTGGACGGAAGGCGGCCGCATTCGGTGACCGCTTGCGGCACAAGGCGACGAAGCAACCACCGGCCGGTGGGATTTGACGGCAGGCGGCCAGACAGGAACGGCAGGCGGCCGCCTACTGGACCGCCTGCGGCGGATGAAGAGACCGGCGCATGTCGCGCTGCCGGTGACGTGACGGAAGGCGGCCGGGACAAGGCCAGAGGCGGCCGCCTGGTTGGGCGCCTACGGGATTTTTTGTCCTATAAATAGCCCGATTTTTGCTGAACTCAAACACACCTCTTCCAACCTTAATTCGGTTCAAAAAGCTTCAGTTCTTCCTCCATTTCCGCAGCTCCAAGGTCTTTTGGAAGAGAGAAACTTCAAATCTTCATATCTTCTTCATTTTAGCTTCAAATTGTAAGTTCTTTATATGTATTTTCATCTTCTCAACGAGTAGAATCTGAATCTGTGCTTTGTTTTCTCGATCTGTTCTTTGAAATTTTCCAGAGTATTTATCAAGTATTTCACATTTTCTTCCAAATATTAAATAAACTAGTTGTTGATGTTGAATGCATTCCAATTACTTATATAGTTGTTTACTAGCCTCAAGGTTGTTATTTATGTGAAGAAAGTTAATTTTCCCGAAGGAGAAGTAATTTTTAATTAATTTCGGTAATGAGTTGTTATTATTGCATAAATTAAATTAATTACTTAAAAATAGTAAAAAAATAGTTTCGGCCCTAATTCCAGTTTATTTCACTGTAATATCACCCCCAGTAGTCGGTAGAAAATTTAGAACGAATTTAACCTATTTTTAATTGCCTTTTGTATTTTACAGTTAAAAGTGAGAAAATGATCAATTAGGGTTAAAATTGGATTTTAGGTTTAAAAATTCGTGAAAAAATCCAGAAAGTCATATTGTAGTTCCAGAAAGTTTATTTTGACAAGATCTTATTTTTTTTTAATTTTTACTATTATACATGTTTAATTCCTTGTTAATGGTTAATTTATTTACCATATTGTTGAATGCAAAAATAATGTTTAGTAGCTAAAATTGTTTTGGGCATGAATTGAGTAAAAGAACATGGATTGAATTTTTAGCCGAAAATTAGGGGTTAAAATTAATTAATTGGGCTAGTTATTCAAATTGATGAATTAGTAATTAATAATTGTTAGCCATTTTCATTAATTAACTTTTGGAAAATTATTTCTAACTTGTCTATGAGATTAGAAAATAATTTGAGCCAACTTTATTCAAGCACATTAATAAGGCCTAGAAATAGGAAATTTTAATGAAATGGATTTACATCTTGTCTATGAGAAATAAATTCAAATTGCTTAAATAATGAATTTAATTAGTTAGTGAATTTGGCTATTTTTATTAATTAAAATATTGGAGAATTATTTCTGTCTTGTCTATGAGATTAGAATTTAATTCAAGCCAACCATTTTTGAATACATTAATGAAACCTAGAAATAGGATAAATTAATGAAAGTAATTTCTATTCTTGTCTATGAGAAAAGAAATTATTAGTCCAATTTTAGTTTTAATTCCCCTAATTACTAGGTTCAAGAATATATCCATTTCCAATTACTCAATTCATTGCCCTTAATTGCCTCAATCTTTTTATTAATCTTTAGAATATTTGATCTTAAATCTTTAGTTGAAATTTGCTCATAGTATAATTTTGCAATTTGGCCTAGTTTAGAACACAATCACCTTCTTTTGTATTGAAAAAGCTCCCAACAATTAGCGATAGCCCGTGACTAAGACTAAATTAAGAAAACTCCTCCGCCATTCCTCAAGAGACACGATACTCGGGAAAAAAACTGAAACGTTAGACTCCGTTTTACCACAACGCCGTGAATGCGGTCATCAACTTGCGTTCCCTATTGTTCGTTATTCTTTAACGACCTTCAACTGCCGTTCGTTCTTCTCATCACCTCACTCATTTCCTTTCATTGTCGCACATCAATTGAAGATCGTCTATTGAGTTCGAAGCTTTGTGGTAAGTTCAAATCAAATTTCGATAAATTCTTAATAGTCTTCTTCAATCCTTCATCAATTTATGTTTGCTTGAAATTTTGATTCTTTTTCCATATTTTTGTTGTTTTTATTTACGTATTTAAGTATAGAAAATCATAATTCAATTCATGTTTTACTTGATCAATAACTTCATCTGCGCTTGTACTTGATCAATCCTTCATTGTTTATATCTTTGCTTTATTGTTGAATTGTGTTTACCGAAATCTGTTGCTGTTATTTATGTATTTGAGTACAAATTCGTATTGGATTTTCGTTTGTGGACTCTAATTAAACACATGATTCGTTTTTTCAGTATTCTCATTGTTGTTTAGTGTTTCTGTTTTTTTTTACTTTCACTCTTATGTTACAGTACACTGGTTGTCACTATTGCCATCACGTTTACTGTTAATTCCATCTTCTGTTTTTATGTTGTCAACTGCTTATGCCTTGTTTGTTCTTACATTCCTGCTTACATGTTACTTTTCATTTTTTGGATAATCATATCTTCAGATGGATACAATTTTGCTGCTTATGGTCAAACTGGATGGTATATGGTTGTCTAATTGCACTTTTACACATAGGGATGTGTGTGGTATTCAAATCCGTGCAAATGCTTCATATGCATGTTTTATACAAAGCATGACTGAATTTTGCATCTTTACAAACCAGACCAATCTTTTAAAATTTCTTATATTGTTGATGGTTGTCCACCTCCAGTTTGTATTCATGATGAAGACACCTTCAAATTTTATCTTCATCTCAAAGTTCTTCACACTGATTTTGAGAAGTTACCTCTTTGTATTGAGTTTGCTACTAATGAAGTTGTTGATGCTTCCTTGCTACTTCACAACTCAGTTCCTCATTGTAATAAATCAAATGTTTCTTCTTCCTTGTCTGAACCTTTTACTGAATCTGGTATTGTTGTTTCTGATGATGAGGATGTTCAAAATCTTGTGCCAGATGATGATGTTTCATCATCTGAGTTTTCTGATGTTCCAGAAAACTTCAATTTCTAAGTCTTCTTCTGTTAGTTCCAAATCGTCTTCCTCTGAAAGTTTTCCCCTTCACCATAATGTTGAGGTCATTACACATCATCATCCTACTTGTCTGATTCGTCTTGCCATCTATAAAGACAAGGCTGCTCTTATCCACCACATGAAAATGTTTGCAATCAATAACAGTTTCCAATATAGAACAATTACATAAAAAAATGCCTTCATGTTATTTGTATGGATCCAAAATGCAAGTGGACTGTGCGCGCAGTTAGATTATCTGGAGTGAATATGTTTCAGATTAGAAGGTATTCACAAATTTCCTTGCTTTGACTTTCTTTATTTGTACATTATTGCCATATGTTTGTTTTAAATGCCATGTTTGTTTGATGGCAGTATTCTGTGTGACTCATTTCAGGTTTCGTCCTGAACATACTTGTTCTGTTGACTACAGAAAAGGTAATCACAAGCAAGCTACAGCGGATATCATTGCAGATATGGTTGCATACAAATTCCTAGATGCTTCAGAAAAACCGTATACTCCTAAGCAGTTACGCAATGATATGACTTTGGAATTTGGAATTTCAATGTCCTACAAGAAAGTTTGGAAAGCACAAAAAACTGCTATGGAAAAGCAGTTTGGATCAGATGCAGCTTCATACCAACTTTTACCATCCATGGCTCACATGCTTGACCAATCAAACCCTGGATCTTCAATCAGTCTTGTTAGAGGTGTTGATGACGCATTTCAGTCATTTTTCTTTTCTCTTGCAGCGTGGATTGATGTTTGGCAGTTTTGTAGACCTGTGCTAATCCTGGATGGCTCATTTATGAAGGCTTACTACAAAGGAACATTGCTAACAACGTGTGGTCAAGATGCAAATAGGCACATAGTTCCTTTGGCTTTCGGCATTTGTGATTCTGAATCCACAGCTTCTTGGAAATGATTTTTGATGAAGTTGCGTGATACTATTAAGTACCGTCATGACTTATATATTGTTTCAGATCGCCATAAAAGACTTATGAAAGCTGCATCTGAAATTTTTCCACATGTTATTCACGGTTTCTGTGTGGAACACCTTAGGCGCAATCTCATTCATAAATTCAGAGGTTCTGGTGATGGTCTTGGGTGGAAGTTTAAGGCTGCTTATATGGCTGCCACTATCCCTGAATATGAAGAATACCTAGCTATGCAAGATGTTGATAATGCCAAGATTCGTCTGTGGTTAGATAAGATTGGGAGTCACAGATGGGCTAGATGTATGGCTGGTCCCCGAAGATTTGGTGTGCTTACCTCTAATTGTGCCGAGTCACTAAATAAGGTTAATGTTACTGTCAGAGAGTATTCCATATCTAAGCTCATTGACTTTTTACGTCAACACATGCAAAAGTGGTTCACGGAAAGAAGTGAAAAGGCTTCTAAAAAAACTACCATTTTGTCCAGTAAATGTGAAAAACATTTAGTGGCATTGCAATATGCATCTACACACATCCAGGTATTAGTTTTATATCTTACCTGAATTATTATGTATTACTTTCACGTTTTTATTATGTATGTTCTGTCAAACACATATGTACCTTAATGGCATTTGTTTTGTTGTTAATGCCATTTAGTTATTTCATATTTACTTTTCTCTCCCATGCCATTTAGTGATTTTATATACAATTACCTTTCTAATTCTTTTTCCACTTTCTCACCATCTAGGTCAAACCATCTTCATATTTGGAGTTTGAGGTTGTTGATAGGGATTGCCGATCATTTATTGTTAACTTGTCAAAGAAGATGTATTCATGTGGTGTTTTTTAATTGGATCATTTCATATGTGTACATGGAGTTGCTTCTCTTCGTATTCGACCAGGACTCTCTTGCTATGATTTCATTTCTCCTTATTATTCTCGTGATGCATGGTTGTCTACATGGGGTAGTAGCATGCATCCAATTGTCGATCCAAAGTCATGGTCAGTTGCACAAAGTGTTCTTAGCATTGTGTGCAAGCCTCCAAATTGTTTGAAGAGACCTCATGGTCGTCCAAAGAAATCCAGAATTCCTTCCATTGGAGAGTTTCGTGGATCAAAACCTCGAAGATGCTCTCGTTGCCATGCCATTGGACACAACAAAAAACTTGTGGCAATCCAATTCCTAAGGGAAACATTGGTGTTGTCTAACAGTATAGGGATAACCATTATTTACTTAATTTAAAATCTTTCTTTTATACTTTGTTGAGTAATGTGCTGTAATAGAACAAATTATGCTTTGGATAACAAACTTCATATCTTAGTCATTACTTCTTTTGTTTGTTATCTTCCTGTTATCCTTTGTTAAGTAATATACTGTAATGAAACATATTATGCTATGAATAAGAAAGTTCATGTGTTTCTTCATTCATTATGTGTAGACAAGTGTGATACATTCAATCATTAAGTCTTTACAAATTATATTTATTGGTACTACATCTGTTTTATGTCTTTATAAATATCAGATTTATACATATGTAAAATCAATCCATTACTATGTTGTGCATTTAAATTTAGTTGGCAGATTTGATGTCAATGATTGCCATGTTTTGTTTATTACATGTGAGACAAATGCCATTAATGGCTAACATTTCAGTATACTCATTGATTATCATTCTTCCCACCTCATGGAAATTATCTATATGGACCTTAAACCAGAGAATTTCTTACTTTGTAACCACAAATGATAAATTGTTAGACAAATGGCTTTAATGGCCTACATATCATATTTCTAAGTAATATAGTTGTTATAAATAAACAATCATTAGCATTCTTTTTAATTTACAAATATGATTTCTAAACTTTTGAATCATTTGCCAAGTTATACTACTTTTTATGGTAGTATGATATTTAATGGACACATTCATTAGTTTTAAAACACTTTGAAAATGTAGTTTAATACAATACATTGTAGTTCAACAAATATTATATGAATAACATAGTTCCATCCATACAGTCAACATGCATAAGAATTGAAAATGTGTCTAACAACAACCCATTGAAATAGTATTGAAATTACTAAGTGTTTGATTTTTTTTTGGATGAAATGTTAATGTATATAGCCACCCAAAAATAACATCTTACAATGCATTAAATCCACATCAAAATAACTATCTAAATTAGAGTAAACTAATCTAGATATAATGCATCAGATAAGTGGGACAAGCCCCACATCATATAATCATTGCCTAAATAATAAAGCTCCAGCCGTGAGCTATCAAAAGAAAATCCCATAACTAACAAGCTATAGCTCGAAAGCATATAAATCAACTGATAATCAAAACAAACGCCCTCCCTTGGATATGGTCTGCCAGTAAGCAAGCTTACCTCCCTTTTTTCTTTCTTACTCCCATACCGAAGCCCTTTTTTCCATGTGGCGTTTGTTTGCCTCCCAGCTTCCGGAACCGTGTCTTCCAAGCCATAACGTTCCCTCCGTAATTCAGCCAATGAAATTCGAAGTGCCTTATCAGCCCTAACAAGACGCTCATTAAAGCTTTCCTTATTTTGTGCCTTCAAATCTTCAGTGTTGTCTATCTTCAACACATCCTTATCAGTCTGCCCGGAGCTCTCTTCCTCACTAGTCTTTGTGTCAGCGTCTTCTTGGACAATCTGCGCAACAATGGTTGCAATGGTAGTCTCTTCCGCACCCATGGGAGACTCCTGGAAAACAATTTTCCCTCTAGGCCTGGTCAGGTTTGCAGCAGGTCCGGTCGGGTGCCCCTGGGCAGTGTGTTCTGGCTGAGAGTTGCCTATGGCAGCCGCCTTTATGGCTTTGTATCGCACAACCTCAAATGAAGCAATCTCATCACCACATACCTCCATATCATTTCCTTCTTTCCTCACACCCTTTGTCACCTCTTTTTTGATCTTTGTCATCCCAAATTTTTGCAAATAAAGGGGTGGTGTCCGTACGATTTGCATTCAAAACAGAAATTAGGAAAGGTCTCATAGACTACCAATTACTTAAAAGTCTTCCCCGAAGGCAGCCGGATAGGAAAAGAGAGGCACGGCGCTTTGGTAATGTCAACCTCAATTAGAACCCTCGCAAAATTATAGTTTGACATCTCTTGGGTGACTTGTCCGTGGTGATAGGTACCCCAACCTTTGATGCAATCTTGCTCATTGCCTCTTCATTCCACAAGTTTAACGGTAGATTAGGGAATTTCACCCAAATAGGCACCGTAAGAAATGCTTCATCATCAAAAGTGAAGTCATCGGACAACATTTTCAATATAAGCAACCTTCCAAAGAGATTATAAGGTCCTTCGGTGAAGACCTTTGTTCGATCCTGTTCATTCTTAAATTTAAACACCACCCATCCCTTGTCATGGCGTTTTACCGTACAATGTACACCCCATGTTTTCATCAATTCATATATCGCTTTAAGCCCAGGGAACCTTCCCGTAAAGCATCCAACAAGGCAAAACCCCCACAAAGAAATCATAGATGGCAACACACAATTTGAAAGATCAATACAATCATCTACCGAAGGTAAATATTTCAATTTAATACCTTGGGAGGAAGCACGATTATCCCTAAAAAGCTCAGCCCATTTATTAGTCCCACCAGCTTTCAGTGCAGTTACCCCAATTGCAGCAGGAGAGCTGCAATCTGCTAGTGCAGCAGAAGAATTCTCTGCCAAAGTTTTATCAGCAACATGTCCAGTAGCTACTGGTTTCCCAGCCTTCCCACTTTTTCCACGAGTTTGGACTGGGAGCTCAACAGGTGTGACAGTGCTCCCAAGTTTATGAGTCAGCCCTCTTTTTTAAAGCCTGAATTCCCAGTCTTCATTTTAGCAGCAGCAGACAGATTGTTCGTAAGAACTTCAGTCTCAAGAACGATCTTATTCCCTGAATTCAAAGTTGGGAACTCATCATCCGTCTCTTCCAGAAGCTCAAAACGGGAAGAGGATCTGGTAGCTCTTTTGATAGCAGACTCACAGGCCACCTTCTTCACCTTCCTCAGGAGTCGTGATGAACAGTAAATCCGCAGCAGACAAGAGCGGAAACCTGCAGCGGTTTCCGACCGTCCTCCGTCCCCCGTCCCCCAAGAGGTTGGGGGGATTCGCCCAGATGTCAAGAATCCCAAACCACTCTCGAAATCCAAAACAACAAGCTAGAAATCGGGAGTTATAGCCAAGATTCGATGTCAATGTGAACAGTAAAAGCAACGCTACAACATCTCGTTTTTGCGTTTCTAGCCAAAAATCACCATTCCAAATTCAAATCCAAGGATAGAAATGAAATTAGAACAGATTTTCGACTCTGAAACAACAACAAAAAAACGGATTACAACAAACAAATCAGTGAAGAACGCAACTCCATTAGCGCAAAAGAGCCCAGGCCGAAATTCCTAGGGAGAGAAAGCTCTCAACTTTTGCTTTTTGATTTTTTCTTCTTTAATGACATCTTCTGTGCTTCATGTCAACCTTAATGCCATCATCCGATCTTCATCCCTACTGCTTTCATCCTCTCCAACTGTGTTACCATATTTTTGCGGTACACTATCATATATGCAGCTTGTAATTCTTTTAAGTCCATTCCAACCATCAAGAAATCAACAATCTTTAGCACGTACATCCCACAATTGTCCCTGCATTTAACAAATATTTTACTTTGTATTATGTAATGCCCAAGTACAATTAATAACAATATATACTGAAATTAGAAGCTTACGCAGAATCCTATTGGGGGCAATCATCTACTGCTTCGATAAGCAGTTTCCTATGTTGCATAGGTTCTTGTTCCATTGCTTCATAAACTTGATGGTAGTCCATCACTTGTGGCAGAAATTTCTCAATAGTAGCTCTGTAGGATGCAATATCTCTCAAAGAATTAGATCTCCTCTTGCTTGAATTGTATACTTTGACCTTCCTCTTTTTCACCTCAAGCACCAGTAAAATTCAATGGTTATTGGTGTTTAGAGGAATATACACAAAATCTGCATCTGCCCAATGTAAATAGAAAGAAGTCATATCCCCCAGAATTGTATGATATATTGTGTTCCTATCTGCCACGTTCTCAACAGTGGTTTGTCCATTTAGCATTAATTCATACTCTCTATTGAGTATCTGAATGGAAAACGGCCCTGCAGTGGTGTATCTCTGTGGCAGCTTGTAGTGAGCACGCTTCATCGCTAAATAGTACATCCCCACATCTATATGCTGCAAAATTAAATTAATATGAATTATCATCCTACAATTTGTGTATTATTTATGAATTTTTATATAATATAAATCATACCGAATCAGTTAACCATGTATGGTTCATCCAAAGGTCATACAACCAAGTTTTAGCTTCAATCTTCATGGTGTCCAGCACCAATGGGCATGAATTCATTTTTTCATCACCAATTTTGTATTTTCTCTTCTCCTTAGTGTTCATAACCTTTAGAAGCCCAACATTCAAGAAATCTTCAACTTCTTTTATTTTCATTCATCTACCCCATTTGTTGGGTCTTCTGGGAATGGTCCACATATTTGTTTCATAGGAGGCAAGTATTCATCTTCTTTTTCCCTTTTTGCCTTCACCTTCTTTCTTCTTTTGACTTCCTTACTCTGCCCAGCTGGAGTGTATCTATCAGGAGATCTTGCACAACGTTTTCCTTGTTGTTTATCTTTTCCCTTTTCCTATTTTTCATAACACTTCAAAATATTCATCACATTGAGTAGCTGACAGAAGATGTATCTTGTAACAATGACCAACTGACCAACTGACAGAATATATGTTTTAATGTCATCTTATATTCTATAATGACAGAATAAATGGTATTCAATTAATAATAATGACAAAAAGAAGATTAATTAACTACATATTAACATTTATTTGTGTAAATTAACTCCCAGACCTGCATTTGTCTTTTACGTGATTCTTTTTCAGCTGCATCAGCTTTTAAACACAATTTCATTATAAATTGTGTGTTCTCTTCACTCCATCTGTATTTTTCTTCACATTCTTTATTATCACTTGCCCCCTGCATTTAATATTTAGAAAATGATCCTTTATTTCCATAATGATGGAACTTAATGCCTTATATGTATTAACCATATGATATTACCTTTAACTCTCCTGCACTGCCTTCAGCTCTTTTTTCCTTCTCAGCCACATCATCCCTTGATTCTTCTTCCTTGTCCTTGTTTTGATCATATGTCAAAATACATAAATTTATTTTATATATGTACATGTAATGTAATGTTATATATGTAAACAAATATATGAAATATTAAATTTATTACCTGTTCTTGTCCTTTTTCACTTTCTTCATTCTGACTAAAGATATTGACTGTTGGACCATCAATGATCAAGTTTGCCCAAAAATAGTCACTAGCACGCCTTTTTGTTATTGCTTCTTCGTCTAGAAGTGACTTATCATTCTCACTTTTAATGTCACTGTAGACTTTGTTATTCCATGTTTCATCATCTTTCTGATTTTCCTACAAAAAGCATTATATTCATTTTCTACATTTTAAGCCCAAGTTTTGTATTTAATGCCATTTCATTGTCTTTAAGATCCACATTTAAAAATGAACTCTTTCAATTACTAACCTTGAGATTCTCATCATCCCCTAGTCCCCCATTCTCATTGTCATCAGCATCCATGGTAATGTGATGGTCACTCATCTGATTGTCCTACAATAAATAAACATGTAACAATCATAAGTGAAAGAAAAAATAAATTTGAAGTTAAATGATTTATTATTACCACAACATCATTCCTTTGCAGCTCTTCTACTTGCTTTTCTGCAGTTTCATCACAATTCTTAAGTTCTTCATCACGTTTCTGTTTATCCTACAAACAACATTATATTCATATTATACATTTAGTTCCAATTATTTTACATAATGTCATTTAAACTGCCTATAAGTGCCACATTTGAAAATTAACACTTTCATTTATAACCTGGAGTATGTGGTCATTGTGCTCAACCTCTACTCCATCATTCTCATTCACATTAGCATCCATGCCACTTTGGTGGTTATTCATCTCACTCTCCTAAGATAAATAAACGTGTTACAATCATTTTTTAAACAATGAATTACATTTCAAATTAAATTATTCATAATTACCACAACATCTTTCATTTCCAAATCTTCTCCCTTCTCATTGCTTCTTCTATCATCTGTGTCTTTTACTGTTTCTTCCAAACTGTCATCCACGTCGACAACCATTTTCTGGTTCTCCTACAACAGAAAATTACATTCATTAGTATACATGTGAGTTCAAATGTTTTACTTAATGCCATTAAATTGACTTTTAATGCCATATTTAAAATTTAACATTTTCTTTTACTAACCTGACCATCATGTTCAACATGTACTTCGTCATTCTGGCCAACACTGTTTTGATCACTCACATCAATTGAATAAACTTTCTTCTTCTTCTTTTTCTTTGAAATTTTCTTCACAAGAGATAGAATATCCTTTAGAACCGCTCCCTGCTTCTTAAAAAGTGCATCCTGTTTATTTTGCTTTTTTTATTTCTTTTATCTCTTGAAGTATCATGGCCATCTCCCCGAGCCTGTTCACGTCTTCATCTTCGTCTGAGGCTTGATTATCATTTTCCCTCTTTTTTCTCAATACTCTCTTACTACACTCTCCTTTCTCATTTTTGCTTTCAAATTTCTTATTCGTTTCACTTTTTCTGTTGGCTCTAGCATCTAGCACCTTTTCTTTTTCTTTCTCCTTTCCTTTTCCTTTTTCTGCATTCTTTTTCTTCTTATTTCCTAATCCTCTATCACCATCAATTCTTAATTCAGGAAATGCTTCACTTCCTTCAGTTCCCTGAAGTCCTTCAATGCAATCTTTCTCTTCTTCATTTGGAATCATTCTTGTCCACTCAAACTGCCACAATTAAAGCAACATTTAACTTTAAGAAGTTATTATATTATATTTAAATTACATATTTATGTTTGTATATAAATGATTGTTTTGATGAAATAGCATTTACCTCGGTGTTGTTGAAGATGACCTCACAAAACTTTTCAATGGAAAGCTTTTTGTGAAAAGACCATCTTAGAGTTCGGGGTATTTGATCTTCTTATTCTTCTATTTTGCTGCACAATCCTGCATTTGTCAAGCTTGGAAAGGTTTCAAAAGCCCAAATCTGTATTGCTTGCATACAACCTGGGAAAGCAACCCATTTTCCTTTGTTTATTTTCAAAGCTTGAACACTGTTTTTCATATTTGCGACAATGTCAATCCAAACATCATCTCCCCAGGGGTAAGAATTGAAAGCATTCAGATCTTCTGCCAAATTCATATGCTTTCCTGGGATATGATGCGAGTACTGATTACCTAGGAATCCATGTGCTATGACATACAACAATGCGAGTTTAGTGTCGTCTTCCTTCTTCGTCCCTGGATACTCAGAATTGTACTCGTCCATGGCATGAATAATGTCTTGAATTACTAATATCTTTTTTTTTTGTGACACTCTTTTTTTTTTGCCCCGAAAAGTCACCTGGGAGGTGAGGTAAATGTCGGGAACATTTACCAGATTTATTCATAAAAATCGTCTTTACAAAAAGTAGAGCAGTACGGTACAAATCAAAAGCAGGCAGTGTCTTGAATGACTAATATCTTCTTACTGCCAAAGTATCTTCTGCACAAATCCCCTCCTGGTACGTCTAGAACAGTAGCTATATCTCCACCTATCTTCAAGCCAGTTACCAGTGCTAAATCATCTTTTGTGAATCCAATGACACTGTTTCCTATATGAAACCTTATTATATTCTTTTCAGTTGTGCCATTGAACTCCTCTATGTAGTTTCCAACGAAGCATATGCACAACTGTCCGCTGATTCTTGGCATTTCTTCTATCTTTAGGATCCAACAAAAAACTGACTCTCTAAATAGCTCAAGTTCTTCTGCATTTAGTTTTGACTTAATGCGCTTAGCTATTTTAGTCAAGTTGCACTAGCAGTTCACGCGCAGCTTTCCTAATGTTTGTATCAGTCCCTGATCACAAATCCTTGTGATTGTCTGCAATTATAATTAGGCATTAACAGCAATCAGTAGCACAATATTTGAATTAAAAGCAAACAAATGGCATTTTTTACTTCAAACAAACATGTGCATGTATCCTATCCACCAAGTCAAATTTCACAATCAAGCTAATTTGGCTTTCACAGCAACTAATAGCCGAAAATGGAACTAGTAGACAACAACTAGTAGACCAAAAATGGAATGAATAGCAAATAATTTGCATTTGAGGTCCTAACAAACATAATCATGTATCTTAGACACTAATTCAATACACAAAGTCTCAGTAATATGGCATTAACAGCAAATAGTAGCCCAAAAATGGAACTAATATCAAATAATTGTCATTTGAGGTCCTAACAACATATACATGTATCTTACACACCAATTGAATACACAAAATCTGATTAATTATGCATTAACAGCAAAATAGTACCCCAAAGTGGAATTAATAGCAAATAATTGGCATTTGAGGTCCCTAACAACATATACATGTATCTTAGACACCAATTTATACACAAAATCTGAGTAATTTGAAATTAACAGCAACTATTTTACCAAAAATGGAATTAATAGCAGATAATTTGCATTTGAGATCCTAACAAACATAATCATGTATCTTAGACACTAATTCAATACACAAAGTCTCAGTAAAATGGCATTAACAGAAAATAGTGGCCCAAAAAGGAATTAATAGCAAATAATTGCCATTTGAGGTCCTAACAACATATACTTGTATCTTACGCACCAATTGAACACACCAAGTTAAATTTCACAATCAAGCTAATTTGGCTTTCACAACAACTAGTAGCTGAAAATGGAACTAGTAGACAACAAGTAGTAGACCAAAAATGGAATTAATAGCAAATAATTTGCATTTGAGGTCATAACAAACATAATCATGTATCTTAGACACTAATTCAATACACAAAGTCTCAGTAATATGGCATTAACAGCAAATAGTAGCCCAAAAATGGAACTAATATCAAATAATTGCCATTTGAGGTCTTAACAACATATACATGTATCTTACACACCAATTGAATACACAAAATTCTGAATAATTATGCATTAACAGCAAAATAGTTCCCCAAAAATGGAATTAATAACAAATAATTGGCATTTGAGGTCCTTAACAACATATGCATGTAACTTAGACACCAATTTATACACAAAATCTGAGTAATTTGAAATTAACAGCAACTATTTTACCAAAATGGAATTAATAGTATATAATTTGCATTTGAGGTCCTAACAAACATAATCATGTATCTTAGACACTAATTCAATACACAAAGTCTCAGTAATTTGGCATTAACAGAATATAGTAGCCCAAAAAGGAATTAATAGAAAATAATTGCCATTTGAGGTCCTAACAACGTATACTTTTATCTTACACACCAATTGACAGCAACTAGTAGCCGAAAAATGTAATCAGTACAAAATAATTGGCATTTGAGGTCTTAAAAACATATGCATGTATCTTACACACTAATTCAATATACAAAATCAAACTAATTTGGCAATAACAGCATGAACTCATATCAGGTCTCTTCTGATTTTTACTTTTTGGCCTGTTGATTCAAAGTCGGAATCCGCCATTGTTAAATCTTCTGTGCCCGTTGTCAAGCTTAGCTTGTAATTTTGCTTCTAATTCCACTTCTACATTTGTTACCAGTCGGAATGAGGTTCCGCGTACTTCTCAACCTTCTTCGTGCTTCTCAACCATCTGCGCAAAGCTTAGAGTATGTCTCGATGAATTCAAAATGTAGAACGGCTGTATTGAATGAGGCGCGAGTGTATTTGCGTACCCAATGCTCCACGTAATCGAACGCCGTAACTGGCAGAAGGTGGGAGGTGTCGGTTATTTCATTAAGGGTATTACTGTCCATCCACTGTTTTTTTAGTCCTAGTAAAACTTCTGAAAATATTAGGTCCTATTTGTGAAATAATATTATCATTTAGTCCTATATGGGTAATTTTCTCTTTAAAGTACAATATGGTCAAGTAAAGGAGACCCGCGGCTAAGCTAAAATAGGTAAGGAGATAATTAACATTAAATGAAATAATAATGGAGAATAATGTAAATATGGTAAAGTGGGATATTTGAAGTAGGGATGTCAAAAAAATCCGACCCGCAATGACCCGCCCTGGCCCGAGACATTTGGGGCGGGTCCGCTGAATATATAAGTATACATACTTTTTCTTAAATTATACTACAAATATACTTCAACATGCATATGTGTATATACAATAAATCATAAATTCTTTGATCTTATAATATATGAATACGGAGTATATATTATAATGAGAAGCACGACGGATTATCAATGTCTTCTTTATATAAAGAATTTTAATACATATATTCAATTATTAATATAACTAATAAGATTAACTATTCAAGTTTGAGTAATTTTTCCTTAATTTTTGAAATTTTTAGTGTATCGTGAATTTGATTTAATATATTGATTTTTAATTATTATTTAGAGATAAACATTATGTAGATTCAATTGGTAACAACTTCCCACAAAAAAATACATACTAGCTAATTAGGTTGCGACGGGGCGGGTCATGGGTCAACAAATTTGGACCCGTACAGGTCACGGGGCGGGCGGACCCGCCCCGCCAAGTCACGGGGCGGGTCTGGGTCTTGCAATACCCGCCCCGACCCGACCCGACCCATTGCCATGCCTAATTTGAAGTGCTGGCCATACATGAATGTGTAACGTACGTATGCATGCTTATGCATGCAGTACATTAATTGTTAATCGTACCGTGAATTTTAAAAATCCTGATACGGTTAACCGCAAAATACACCATTTTTCAGTTTTTGATTTGATTAGTCGGTTACGGTTTTTTGTGCCCACTCCGTACGTAAATATTAGACAAATATGATAACAAATACTTTTCTTGGATATTGTCCCAAATATTATTATTATTATAGCAAATAATGTTGAGAGCAGCCACTCGGCAACTTTTCTTTTAAAATACACTCATGCGCATTAATCTTATGAATAGGAGTTTGTCAAATGAGAACTATTTTAGAGAAGAATTGAGAATTTAAGAAGGAAACCCCATGATTAAGACATCATTTGTCGTTGTGGGAACGATTAACGACATCATCATTATTATTTTAAATTATGATTAAGACATCATTGGTTGTTGAGGGAACAAGCGAGACATCATGAATTTAAACCTCACTTGGTGAAAATCCATTTTACCCAATGGGAAACAGTGATATGCTCTAGAAAGCTGAATTACTGGTTCAACTGCAATTTAAGGATTCCCAAAGCTGATTTGGTTTAAAAAGTGAGTATTTTATACTCCAAAGAATGATTTTCTTGTCTTCTTTTTTAATATGAACTAAAAAGTTATTATCCATTTTTTTGATCCTTCAATTAGTAATCATATTCATGAAGGGAGCTAGAGAGGGCCAGTCTATTCCTGACCCACACCAAATTTAAAAACTGTCTTAACTTTTAAGGTAAAAAATTTCGTGTAGTCTTTTTCCGAAAAATATTCTTTATGTCGACCGAATCTGACCTAGTGTCCTAGTTCCGCTCCTGATTATATTAAAATATCAGACTCGTGTTTTTGATATTTTAAACATTACCTCGAATTGAAAGATGTATTGTACATGTCACTCTTAGTGAATTTATAATACATTTGTCAATTCAAGAATGACGTTTACAATCTCATAAACATGAATGTAACGTAACAATATGACGATTAATTGAAGAAACAAAAGTCTGATTTCCCCTTTTTAAAACAATATTTTTTCATATGAACTAAAAAGTTATTATTATCCAAATATCTCAATCCACGCTCGCAGTGGCTCTATGAGCCCGACACATCATCTACCGAGCTGGAGAGCTCCATTAAGACCCGATTATCGCCGAGTCGCCGCCGACGTTTCCACCGGCACTCAGTTTCTCGGCACCTCTCGTTTAGCCCGTTTCCACAACGGCACTCTCATTTGTATCCCTCTCTAGAACTCCTGCCATATCTTTCTAGAACCGCATAAATCGGGTGGCGGTTTCAGTTTTCCGCTTCAAGTGTACGAGCGCGGCGACATTCAGCAGAATTCTTGCCGGCTGTGCGTTGATGTTTCTGCCACTTTCGATCTCACATCTCGATGGTAGATCAATAGAATCTGTTAGTATATAATTCCATAACTTATGCTTTAATTTGCCTTTTAACTATTTTGCTTAAACTTCAATTGTAACTTCTAATTCTTAGGAAAACAAGTTTTAGAAAGACAATTCAGCCCTCGGGTACTGTTCAATCGAATTTAAAATATTTTGCTTAAACAAAAGATACATTTAAAAAAAAGTAACTTCAACGAGACATTATAAACGTCTCCTGAAGATTTACTGCTTATTTTTTACGCTTTTAAGAGGATGTATCTAGACATACTGAGCTGATTGGGGTGAATCCATGTCTTTAGACCATTAGATAATGTTTATGGTTTCCCCCCTCTCCTTGTCGGTTATCGGGAGCCTTTTCAGGCTTTGTTATGAGCCAATGACCATTTCTGTGATGTTTCAAGAATAGGTTAGTGTCTTGTATGTAAACCACTGCATAAATAAAGCCATAAAGGTATCGACTTTGCAGTGTAGGCAGACTGGAATATCTTGCATGATTTTGTATTACGGAGTATATCCTTTCAATATCTCCTTGTCATCTTTTGTGCACCTCTTTTTCTTTTCTATCCTGTCAATCTTAATCCAAGTTAAATGGTACATCTGGCCCACTATGATTGGGGTATGAGGAAGTGGACATGAGGAACTTGGACTGTTATTAACTAAAGTAAATTGTATAGTAATATTGAATTTATAAAGAATGAATAAAGTATAAAAGTAAACAAATTCGAACCACATAAATATTACCATCCGTGGACCTTTCAAAGTTCTGTGTATCAGTGTATGGTTGACCGGTCATAAAGTTAACTCTTCCATGATAATGTTTAATATTTATTTTGCTTTTAATAAATAATGCATACATATTCAGAAAGTACATCTTAAAATGATTCAAACTCGTTATATAAAATTAGATATTAAAAGGAAGTTAATTTAAGTGCGTGAATAGTGCCTAAGAACCTTAGGGCTCATGGTAGTTTACAAGTTCAATGTTTGCACGTGAAATGATTGCATACAAAGTTTAGTGAAACAATCATTTTGCATGTAAAGTAGATTTCATTGTTTCACTTGATGATGTGTAATTTATTTAAAAAAGCATGTAAAGACGTTGCAGTGCTTTATAAAAAACATGCAAAGTATTTTAGCACCCTCTTCCCACGTAAAATACTTTACATGGTATAGTGCGAAATGTTTTTAAAAAGTTTCCTACAGTTTACATTAAATAATCAAACCAAACGGTGTAAACCTTTTACGTTCCTACACTTCGCACTCAAAATAATTATTTTACATCCTACCGAACGCCCTCTTAAACTAGAACTAATGTAGTACACAAACTTAGTGGGATAGGCAAAAAGGAAAGACTAGACAAAGATATTGAGATGGAGAAAGAGTAGGTAATACTGATTAAGTATTCTCTCTGGCATAAGTTATGCAATTCTGCAATTCTATGTTGCTTAGAGTTATGCTACTTGATTTATTTTGATGCAACATGCAAGTTACCCCTCACCTTTTAGGATGTATGTATCTTCTATGCACTGTTTCATAGTATTTTTCCTGATATAGGGTGATTAATGTGGTGATGGGATTTTTGAATTTGAAGTTCTTTCTTTGGTGTCTCTATGAAAGGAATTCAGAAGGGTAAAAGTCACGCTCCTGAGGAACATTTTTCAGGATGCTTGGGAAGAGTAGTGAAACTTTTTGACTTGAATATTGGGGTTGCAGGAAACAAGTTGCTGATGGATAAGCCATATCAAGAAGGTAATTGGGCTTTCTTTCAAACTGTATATGAAGGGGAAGCCCAGTGAACATAGGCATCCCCGCAAGTTGAGGTCCGGGGAAGGATCCCATCACAAAAGTGTATAAGGGGCAATTCTTCTCTTGTCACTTTGACAAGAGGCCGCTCCCTAAACTTGAACCCGTGACCTCTCAATCACACAGCGATGCCGTAACCATATATGATCTTCAAAATCTTTGGTTCGTAGTGTCACATGAAACAAGCATGTTTTTTTTTTTGTAAACAAGCCTGTATACTAGCTAGTTCACCTTGTTCCATGACTGGGACAAACTAATGACTTTCTAACTGTTTTGGTACATAATAAATCACTGCAGCCCTGTAATGCCTCTTTTCTTTGGTTCACCCATGTCATGTTTTGCATAAATGATTTTTTAGGATTTCATGCAAGGGGCAAATCCAACATGGCAAGCCTGTCTCCATTACAGGATCGAATTGAGGATAAAGTGGTAATAGTTTCAATCTATTTACGAGGGATAAACACATCAACAAGGTCTTTTGAAAACTCAGCTAGGTTACTGATGTATATACACTTTCCAATGGTGCACGTAGGTTGTGGCAAAATCGAGTGGAACAATTTCAAACAGGAAATCAAAGGGAACACCAATGAAGATGCTCATTGCCCAAGAAATGTCCAAAGATATTAACAATAAGTATAATCCACCAAGTGTTGTAGCCAAGCTGATGGGGCTTGACACTCTTCCTTCTCAGCAACCTGACTCTTCTAGACAAAGAGACTGTGCTGGTGGTAGTGCACGTGTTCATGCTGACACACAGTTGAGTTATTGCAGTTGTAGCAGAAATGGAACATTAAATGCAGAATTGTGTCATGAGTTTCATCAATACACAAAACAAAATCACTGCAAAGATGTTTATGAAGTTTGGCAGCATCCACAGAAGAGATCTCTGAGAAACACAGTTTCAGAAAGTAGGTGTGTTGAGAAGGATAAAAGGATAGATTATGTGCGCCAGAAGTTCTTGGAAGCAAAATCCTTATCTATAGATGAAAAATGTCATCAGACTAATCAATTCCGAGATGCGTTGGAGGTTCTGAGCTCCAATACCGATTTGTTCCTGAAGTTCTTACAAGAACCAAATCCCAAGTTTCCCCAGCAGATATCCAGTCTACCGTCTAGTCCTTCTCCTAGTGATATAAAACGGATAACTGTACTTAGACCTTCCAAGATAGTAGATAACCCTACTTTTTCTGGAAAGGAAATGAATGAAAAACAAGAGAACGAAGCCAACCAGGTCAGCCAATTGAAAAGAGTGGATGAAATACGTCTGGCTCATTCTGCTTCTACAGCTAGCTGCAGTGGTGATGGAAATTCCACTCAACTAACTCGAATAGTAGTACTAAAACCTAGCACTTGCAAGTCACGCAACCTAAAGGATGTGAACTCTTCACTATACTTACCATTGGCAGGGTTACATCATGAAAATGTGTTGGAATTCCCTGAAAATAAAGATGCTCCAGAATCAAGAGAACTGCCGAGTGAAATTACACTTCCGAGACATAAAAACTATATCGGGCATGAAAGGGATGGCACATTGTTCTCTTCTGGGTCTCCAGATGGCTATACTAGTGATGAGAGTTCCTTCAACAGGTCAGAAAATGAGCATGCTATGGGGAACCTGTGTAATTCAGAAGTCATGTCACCGGCTTCGAGGCATTCATGGGACTTTATTAATAGGGTTAGAAGTCCTCATTCACCTTATTCTCCAGAATCTCCAGTTTCCAGAGAAGCAAAAAAACGACTTTCTGAAAGATGGGCCATGGTTGCATCCAATGGAGTTCGCCAAGAACCAAGACCTCTCTGGAGAAGCTCCAGTACATTAGGTGAAATGCTTTCTCTTTCTGATACAAACAAATCAGGGAACCTTGAAGAAGGACGGGATAAAGAGCCAAGGCAATTGAATTCCATCCAATTCAGATATCCAAATATGATGGAAGCTGGGGACAACTCTCCAAGTAAACTTTTGAGGTCAAATTCTCTCCCTGTATCATCTACTGTGTTTTCTTCCCAATTGAAAGCAGAAATCTCAGAATCAGGGGCAGTAAAGACAGAACCTGTAGAGGAGACAATAAATGAAAGAAGCATAAAATCATCATTCAAAGGGAGATTTTCAGGTTTGTTCTCAAGGAACAAGAAGCCTAGCAAGCAAAAGGTTGGCATTTCAAACACTGACGATGAATCTCATTTTGGTGACAAACATTTAGATTCTCCTGGAGAAGTAGGTTATGATGTGAATCACTGCCTTAATAACAGTGGGGATGAGTATTTATCTCCTTATATACATGGCTCATCATGCAAAAAAACTTCTTCAGGCTTGAATGAAAAGCAAGGCATTAGTTATTCTGAGGTGATTGGGTATATCTATAGCAAGCATATTGCCTATGTTTTATTCTGCCAGCATATAAATTAGTTAAAGTTCTATCTTATAACTTATTGGTCTGCACATTGGTTATTGTTACTTCTGCTTGACTAATGCAACTTAGAGGAAGATTGACATGGATTCATGTTGGACAAATTATACAGGTTGAACATGCACCATCTGTCAAAAGGGATATGTGTTCTGGAAATTTTAATGGGAACCAAGATCAACCAAGTCCGGTTTCGGTTCTGGATACATCATTCGAGGAGGATGGATGCGTAATCTTACACAATGTCAAACCTTATGGTCCTGATATCTTCTCTCATCAGTTTATGATTCATGCCAAAAATTCATTTATCGCTGTATTTTGTCTGATTGTTTTCCAAAATCAAACAGGGGAGTTGCGCGTTCACTCAGTCAGGTCCAATTTAATCGACAAATCCCCGCCAATAGGTTCTATTGCCCGCACCCTAGTAGCATGGGATGATTCCTGGTTGTTAGATACGGCAACCTCTTTTTCACTGATGCCGTCCTCAACCCAAAGGACCGAAGAAGAACGTGAGTGGTTCTACTATGTCCAGACAATACTATCAGAGGCTGGCCTCGACCAAGTGCAATATAATTCATTCATCTCAAGATGGCATTCACCAGAGAGCCTGTTGGACCCATCCCTTAGAGACAAGTATATTGATTCACATGAGGAGGAGTCATTACATGAGGCTAGGAACAAGGAAAGGAGATTAATCAGAAAGCTGATCTTTGATTGTGTTAATTCAGTGTTGATGGATATTACTTGCCAATACACATATCCTTGTAATAGTGTAATGTTAGTGGACCATGTGTGGGAGCAAATGAAGGAATGGTTTTCTTGGAATATGGTGTGTACATCTGGTTATGATGAAGATGGAAACAGCCTCATAGTGGAAAACATGGTAGCGAATGAGATTGTAAAGAAGGGATGGATTCATTGTTGGAAATTAGAATGGGAAAGTATTGGAAAGGAAATTGAAGGAAAATTGTTAGAAGAGATGGTGTGTGAAGCACTGGTCGAAATGATAAACTAGAATGTGATGGTTTTACTTCGTTGATCTGTGTATCAGCATTTCCTTTCTTATATCACAACGGTATTATATTTGTAAATCATGTTTCATATTAATATATATAATGATGTTTTGCTAAGAGTATCCTCTTTTGTTCTCTGTGAACTTTGCCTTACTTTCAAGAGGTAATAAGTGAATATATCATGTCGTGTAGATTGAATTTGTGATATTTTATAATTTTATAAAGGGAAATTGTCCTAAATAGGAGTAAAAACGTTTGTGTATTGTAAAATAGGATTTTCATGTGTTTATTCCCTAAACAAGTGTAATTACCGTCATGTTTTGCCAATACTAGACTTTAAACATGACAGTAGTTTCCAAACTTTGGCAGTAATTGCTCATATTTATTTAGTGAATAAAAACATCACAGTCTTATTTTGGAATTTTCAAACGTTTTTACTCCTATTTCAAAAAAATTCCCTTTCTTAAAAGAACTTTAAATAAGTATTCAAGAGGTAATTAAATAAGAACAATGAGCTATAACTTTTGTCAAGTTAATACTTTTAGAAATAGTATTACAATGAAATTAGTGCAAAATCTTTGTTGCTTACTTATAAAATGACCTTATTCTATGAATTTTTATTTTAACAAAAAGTTCATAAGCTCTTACTCTGTATAACATAAGGTAACAGTTATTAGTATAACTATTTTAGTATTTTCTACTCTACTTGTTTCGTTCTCATAGGAGTGTTTGAGATTGATTCTACGTATCTTCTTTTAAAAGTAGAAGTAAGATCAAAATCAATTTTTCAAAAGTTGATATCCTCCATCTTCTAAAAAACTGTTTCTAAGAGCAATTTAGAGCATCCAAAATTACTTTTAGATTTCTCCAAAACACTCCAACCATCCAATACCCGCTTCTGCTGCGTGAAGGAGTAGAAAGCGGTTTTAAGAAGTAGATCAAAACAACCCAAAATCTCCGATAGAAGAATTTTTTAAAAATATATGAATAAAAAATCACGAAAGAAAAATAGACTTCATGTACGATGATCATTTTATAACTCTTCCAAACAATTTTTTTATTAAAAGAGTCCAACTATGTGGTCTTTCTCTCGCTTGTCGAGAGCTAGGTGTTTTCTCTCGTGTGTCGAGAGGGGTGCAATGTCGCACTTCTGCGGATTAGTTTTTTTTTTGCATCTTGATCAAATGCAGGTTCAACAAAGGATAACAATGGCTTCTATGAATGATCTAGAGCAACCTTGTCTCATTCCAGCAATTGAGGAGGAGGTTGAAGGGTTGATTTTTTGCGGTCGTGGAGGCGCCACGGGCGACGAGTAAACAGGGAGCGGTGAAGGGTTGTGCCACACTCGTTTGGTGGTTAGCGATTCGTATTGCTTTTTCAGGGGTGATCGTTGTTGGAAGTATGCCCTAGGACAATCATACTTTATGATTTATCAATGAATATTTAATGCTCATTAATTAATAAAGTCACAAACTCATTTTATGTTAATTATTATTGTGAGTTTTCTTTATTAATTTTTAGTCCCTGAATATTATGTTTAGTAGCTAATTAAGTACGTGACTTAATTTTGGAATGCTACACTTTAAAATAAGCATAATATTCTAATTGTCCATGGTCTAATATTATTAATCTGGGACATTAATAATTAATAGACCATTATGTGGATTAACTGATGGCTATATTCCACTAGTCATGGGTATAGAGATATCAAGTTAATAACATAGATGCTTGTTAGTGAACAAGTTCATTGGACAGACCCAACTTGAGGACACTGCTAGGTTATATGTCATCAGTGTTGTCCTCAATAATGATGAGGTGCTATATTCTTATACTTGAGATAATCATGGTTACTTGCATGCAAATTAATATGTATTAACACCATTAAATATTATTTTTAAATGGGTAATTATAAAGGTGGTGATTGTACATATTATGAACCATGTAGTAGTATGTGAATTATCAAGATAGTTTTTGTCACTCTCGTATAGCGAGAGAAAGCTATCTATTGGGTCCCACGAATTTTAAGAGTTAAAATTCACTTCTAAAACCTAGAGTAGAGAGGAAGAAAGAAGAGAACGCTAGCACGTTCCCTGCGGCCGATCCAATCACGTGCGTGTGGATACCCGTAGAGCTCGGGATCGTTTTCTCGGACTGTCTGACATCCTTGATTAAGATTGCTATGTAAGTCCCTCTTATATCTTGTAATTTCGTTTATAGTAAGAACCTCAGATCCGGTTGTTTACTTTTGGGCAGTATTTTTTTGTTTATTCCGCTGTGTTTTTCTGTCCGAAACCCAACAGTGGTATCAAAGCCTACGGTTCTTTATTATATTCGGGTTACCTGATTTATTATATAATCAGTAATTTTATTATTTTGGGATTTTTCGGAATTAATTTTTATTAATTTCGGAATTAGATTTTTTTATTAATTTCGGAATTTATGTGTATTTATATTCCAAATTTTTTTGGTAAGGATGTGATATTCGAATATTTCGAATTTAATCCAATATATATTCACAATTATATTTGGAATATTTTGTGATATTATTTATTATTTTTCGGATCAGATCTGAATGGAATTAGGAATTGGATAAAATCCTACATCCTAATTATTCGGAAGAGATATGAATGGACATGAAAATTCAATAGTTTGAATTGGATCCGAATTGATACTCATAATTTATGTTAAGAATATTTTATGATATTATTTATTATTTTTCGGATCAGATCTGAATGGAATTAGGAATTGGATAAAATCCTACATCCTAATTATTCGGAAGAGATCTGAATGGACATGAAAATTCAATAGTTTGAATTGGATCCAAATTGATACTCATAATTTATGTTAAGAATATTTTATGATATTATTTATTATTTTTCGGATCAGATCTGAATGAAATTAGGAATTGGATAAAATCCTACAGCCTAATTATTCGGAAGAGATCTGAATGGACATGAAAGTTCAATAGTTTGAATTGGGTTCGAATTGATACTCATAATTTATGTTAAGAATATTTTATGATATTATTTATTATTTTTTGGATCAGATCTGAATGGAATTAGGAATTGGATAAAATACTACTGCCTAATTATTCGGAACAGATCTGAGTGGATAACAAAAATTCAGTTTTTTTTTAATCAGATCTGGTTCAGAATATTATTTTAGTTTTAGGAGATTTGGTTTCTAATTTTTCGGATGAGATCCGAATTATTTTGGCAACCGCCGGCTATTGAGCTGTTTTTGTGGATCAGACAATCTTGTTTTGGCCGTAACTTTTGACTCGTTAATCTGTTTCCGACCCATAAGTACTTTTCGGAAACGGGAAGACGAGCTCTACACAAATCAAGGCAAAGCCGTGACAAATCTCCCATATTATAATTCGAATGATTTGATCAAGTGTTCTGCCAAATTCGAATTTAAGTTCATTATACTTTATTCGTATTTATATATGTGTACTGATCTATATTACGGATATGATCTGTACATGTGTATATATACTACGAATTATTTTAGAATTCATTAATATGTATGTTTTTTTTTCGGATGAGATCCAAATTAATTACATATTACTTGCGGATTTTAAAATTTAATTTTCAATCCGTGCATGCGCAATTATTTTGTTTCGTCACAGGACAGATTGAATTGGTGGTATAGCATGATCCGAATGTATGTTTTATATTATGTTGTTTTACGGCCTGCGTGTCGTTATTCCGAATATCCCCTGTAATGTTTTCAACCTCGTAGATATTTAGTAGTCTACTGCACAGGTTGAAGATGCCAAGGAGATATGAAGTATTAGGGGTCATGCTATATCACTACACTAGTTTTAAATTATTTATTTAAATCTATGATTGCTGCATGTGTTTAATAAGTAGTCCCTATTAATTATAAGTCTAAATTGCTTTCCCAATATGACCACCATTTATACTATGCTAGTCGTGTTATGTGTCTGCCAAAGCAGAGCATTTCACACTATCTTAGGAAGATGTTTTGAATGATCATCATTCTCGGGTCTTAATATTGGTTTGGACTTACAAGGCCATCAAAATGGTTTTGGGCCTTGAAGCAAGGAATGTTTGGATAATCATATGATGGTGACCAAACAAACCAAGAGTCATATAGGATATGATTAACAAGAGTTGTTTACCTAAATAACTAATGTTTAAGTGATAAGCCAAAGCTTACTTAAATTTTAGTGAAATATGGATCTTGGACCACTATATTTGGGATTTTCTATTTAATATAGTGGGAGTTATTTTGAGCATTATTTAAAATTCTTTGCATTATTTGTTGTAGTTAATATGGCCACCAACACAACTTTTTCACTGCGATCAATCTTTGAGAAGGAAAAACTTAATGGAACAAATTACACGGACTGGGATAGGAATCTGAGAATTGTTCTCAGGCAAGAGCGTAAAGAATATGTCCTTGACCAACCAATTCCTACTGAACCAGCGGCCAATGCTCCTAGAGCCACTAGAGATGCTTATGAAAGGCATGTCCGTGATGAAGTTGATGTCACTTGTCTGATGTTAACCATCATGGAAGCTAATCTTCAGAAACAGTTTCTGAATCGTCGTGCACATGACATCTCTAATGAACTCAAGAACTTGTTTCAGAAACAAGCACGGATCGAAAGGTTCGAGACAACCAAGGCTTTGTTTCACACAAGGCTTACTGATGGGAGCCCAGTTCGATCTCACGTACTCAAGATGATTGGGTATAGGGACCACTTGGAAAGACTTGGATCTCCAATTAGTCAAGAGTTGGCTACTGATGTGATTCTCGCATCACTCACCCCGGCATATGACCAGTTCATCCTGAACTATAATATGCATGGTCTTGAGAAGACCTTAATCGAATTGCATGGAATGCTCAACTCCGCTGAGCAAAACATCAAGAAAAATCGGAGTGACGTTTTGATGATCAAAAAGGGAAAGGGATTCAAGAAGCCTGGAAAAGGCAAGGTTGGTGGAAACAAGAAATCCAAAACTCTGGTTAAGAACTCGGGTAAAGGCAAATCTGTTGCCAGCTCTACTTCTAAAGAAGAGCAAAAATGTTTCCACTGCAACAAAACCGGTCATTGGAAGCGGAATTGCAAGGCGTATTTGGAAGAACTGAAAAGAAAGGGGCATGGTGATGCTTCCAATTCAGGTATCTATGTGATAGAAGTAAATGTTACTACTACTACTACTTCATGGGTATTAGATACCGGTTGTGGTTCTCACATTTGTTCAAAT